ATTACCAACTCAACTTTGAGGAGGATGAGACAGCTGACGCTGCAACAGGAAGCTCTGAGAGGGCCATAGAAATCTCCAAAACCCAATATATTATCCCGTGAGTGTAGGGTCCTGGAGGGCTGCCAAGGTCAGACATGCCTTCTAGCTGACTTTTCCAGGTCGGGACCGACTCCCAGCCAGACTGTGACTGAGCAGTGAATTCCTGTTCCTTCCTGGTGACCCTGTACTACTTTCCAGTAAGCTCTCCCATGGTACAATTGTTTCATTATCTATACAGGAAGGGGATTTGTGATTCCTTCTGGAAACCAGAGAAGAATGGGTGCCAGGTCCACTCTCCTGGCTGCTGGCTCAGAGTCTGAGCATACACAGGCCTGGAAGGAAGCCATTCTTGTGGGGACTGTGATGCAACAGCGTCTCACCACCAGGCTGTGTGACGGCTTTAACTCTGTAATAGCCAGTAGCCTTTGGGTGACCACCAAGTAGAAATTGTCAGGCTGCTAGTGAGCCAGCTACATCTCACAGAACAAATGAGGCCTATATCTGTGTGTCTGTAAATAACCTTTATTGGAGCAGAGCCGTGCTCGTTCATTCAAGTATCCCATATGGCTGCTTGTACACAAGGGCAGAGCTGAGTACCTGCTATAGACACCATCAGCCTGCAAAGCTTGAATTGTTTACTATGTGGCCCTTTATAGAAGCAGTATGTTGGCTTTGGGTTCAACAGAAGGAGCATTAAGAGACTGTGGTAGTGACCTGAAGGACCATGAATAGGAGCTCCAAAGACCTAGGCCTGGCTTCTGGTCCTGCCTCTGCTAGAAATCATCTCTGTATACAGCTCCTGAGTGAATTTGAATATCTCTTTCAGCTGCAGAAGATACAACAGTTCTGGGATTTCATTCACAGAATGCACAGGGGTTCAGAGGTCAAGTTTGCTACCAAATAGTTTCCATTTCCCAAAACCATCCAATAATTATGGGATTTAAAATAATTAGGTTACAATTCATACCCTATGCTTATAAAGAAGGAGCATACACACAGGTGTGCAGACACATGCATGCAATCTCACACAAGCACACACACTGGGGCAGGCCATGGAGCCCACTGGTGTGAGCATAGCGTTTTCACCCAAGTTCCGTGCACTGACCCTCTGTGGGAAATTCATGTGTCTCCAGGGGCGTCAGCATTTGCCCCAAGAAAGCTGCTGCATCTAAGGTCTCACCATCTGTACAGCTGTGATCAAAACATTACTATTCAGTTACTATCTAAGACACAGCTGTAGAATTATGGAGACATGGTTTTATAAAACTAAGCAATTGTGTGAGTGTGCCTTCAAGTTAAAGAAAGAAGAATGTCTAAATCTCAAAATCAATTCATATTTCATGCACATTTACATACAATATAATGAATGCTATCTTCTTTATTTGTTTTCCATACCATCTTTATTTATGCCTTCGTTATGAGACTTACAAATAGTTTCCAAACATCTCTAAATTTAAGAAAATTTTAACTGAGTGAAGCTGATTGAAATTAGCTGTCTTAGTCTGGGTTCTTCCCCAAAGTAGAGCCTGAGGAAAAAAAATAGTTTATTTGAGGAACTGATTCAAAGGAACAGAAGCAGAGAACCAGGAAGATTGAAACAGGGACTGAGGGAAACCAGTCCAAGGGTCTTTTATTGAGCTGGTCATTAAGATGAGCAATTGAGGCTCCCTCCTTCTGAGCTGCTGTGAGCTACCTTGTGGAGTGAGCCACTTGTCTATCTTCCCAAGGGATGCAGAAGGGAAGTATTTATCTAATTCTCACTATTGTCCTATGGGATTTTAACTCACTCTCGCTCGCAGTGTATGCATGAAACAGAGTAGTTGCTGACCTGGTTTCCACAGGGTCAGAAACAACCTCAGAGAAACCCCGTCTCAGAAAGCAAGAGTTTCATGACCGATCACCACTGCACATCAAATTCATGACTGGAGTCAAAAGGCAGGCTGAGCACACGTAAGGAAGTTGCACAAAGAAGTGACCCGTACAATGTGTAATGCTTCAATTTTACCACTCCAGCCTCCCAACATGCTGCCAGGGCTAATAAATCCCATTCGTTTAATGGTTGTAAATAAACCACCTTAATGTACTCAGATCAATAGTGTCCATGAATATGAGGACACAGATAGAGGCTACTACCTCCATTGTATTAGTGACAGTGAATGGATGTTCCCAGAAGAGAAATCTGCAGAGAGATGCTGTAAAAGTGTTTCAAAGGATCAATAGGAGTCTTCAAGGAGGTAAAGCAAAAAGACAGAACAAATCACCTATGTATAGTCATGCAGATTGGGAGAAACATACATGCAAAAAAATACAGGGACTTTGGAAAGATTGAAATAAAAGCACGTGTGAGAAAATGGACAGCCATGAGTTTGAAGAGGTAGGCAGTTCCCAGACGGTGAAACCCTGGATCCCATCCTGAGCACACTGGACTCCATCGTATTGACAATAGAAGAGCATGGAAGGTTGTCAGAAGGAAAGAAGTATTCAGTTTTCTTTGAAAGAAGATAACTCTGATAACATTCTGGAGTTTAGAACATCTCAAAGGAATTTCAGACGTAAATTAAAGTTGGTGTATCTTGATGATCCCAAGATTAAAATATTTCAGCTCTGTCAACCATTTCAATTCATGGGACATACAAGAACCTTTTGTCTGTACAGGACAATGTGGCTAAATTTAACACAAAGCTAAATGAAAGCCACAGCAAAGTTTCATCAAAGCAGAGACTGTTATTTAGAGAATCCGTGTCTGTTATTTATTATTTAGTGTCCACAGTGCTTTATAATGCAATCCTAGAAATAATTTAAACCACTGGTCATTCTCTGGGCTTTTATTTCTGTGAGGCAATATGATAATTCAGGAAGACCATTGCCAAGACTCGACCCAAAATTGTAGACCTTTCTTGTCCTACTGAGAAGAAAAACAGTCATTTTAGGTTTTGGTTGTGAGCATGAATAATGAGCATCCCATAAACAAAATAGACTTCCTCAATTTAAACTTGTCTAAAGTAATTAATTTTATGATCCTTATATGAATGTGTGCGCCCAATGTAAGAGGCAGGAGCATATCTGTGGAGGAATAAGAAGACAGTGGTGTGACACCGCGAGACAAGCAAGGGCAGACAAAGAGACAAGAGAAAAGCTTAAAGGAACAAAAAACTTGCCATGCCTCAGCTTCCACATCTCCTAGAAACCTTTTCCCCCTTGTTCAGACTGTCCAACTGCAGCTCTATACCCACTGACCACCCATCTCTATCCTCCTTGCCCTACACCCTTCCCAGGTTCTGGTGACCACTATTCTATTTGTATACTCCTATCTTCTAAATTCCACACATGAATGAGAACATGCAGTATTTGTCATTATGTTACTTATTTCAATTAATATAATGTCCTCCAGTTCCATCCATGTTTCTACAAATGACAGAGTTTCATTCTTTTCATGGCTGAATAATATTCTGTTGTATTTAATACCACATTTTTCTTTATTATTCACCCATAGATAGACACTGGGTTAGTCAGCACTTTGTGACTGTGACCAAAATATATGACAAGAACAACTTAAAGGAGGAAAAATTTATTTTGGCTTATGGTTTCAGAGGGTATGGTGGCAGAAGAAAGTTGCTCAGTTTTCATGAAGTCAGGAAACAGAGAGAGAGGGGGTAACTAAAGAAAAGGAAAACGCTTTCCAGGCCCACCTGCAGTGATCTACTTCTTCTGATTAGGTCCCACCTCCAAGTAGTCCATTCAGCTCTCAGTGAATCAATCCATCAGATGAACTAATCCACAGATATAGTGGAGCCCTTGTGATCTGATCATTGCCTAAGAACTCCACCTCAGAACCTTGCTGTGTTGGGGACAATGCTTTCAATACATGAGTTTAGGGGTAGAAATAGCAGACTCCTAGGGAGGGGTGCATAACCAATGCCTAGGTTGATTCTATATCTTGGCTATTATGAAAAATATTGCAATAAACATGAACATACAGATGTCTCTCTGACATATTGATTATAATTCCTTTGGATATATACCCAGGAGTAAGATTGCTAGGTAATACGGTAGTTCTATTCTCAATTTTTCAGAAACCTGCATACTATTTTCCATAATGACTGCACTAATTTACATCCCCATTAGTAGTACATAAGAGTACCCCTTTCTTCACATACTGTACAGTGTTTCAGTATTTCCTTTCTTTTCTTTTCTTCTTTTGGGTAACTGAAATGGGATGACATCTCATTGTGTTTTGATTTCTCTGATGATTAATGATATTGGGCATTTTTCATAAAATTGTTGGTCATCTGTATGAGCCCTTGTTTCAGTCAGCTTTTTTGTTGCTGTGATCAAAAGACCCGATCAGAACATTTTTAGAGGAGGAATAATTTATTTGGGGCCTCGCGGTTTCAAAGGTCTCAGTCCATACATAGCCAACTGTACTCCTTAGGGCTCCAGGTGAGGCAGAACATCATGGCAGAAGAGTGTGGGGGGGAATAGGTGCTCAAGATATCCCATCAGGAAGCAGAGAGAGAGAGAGAGAGAGAGAGAGAGAGAGAGAGAGAGAGTACAAGAGCCAGTAGCCCCTCCTCACCAGGACACAATATAAACCACAAAGGCATGTCCCATGCCTCCTCCAGCCACACCCTACCTACCTACCTGCCTACAGTTACCACTCAGTTAATCCCTTTCAGGGGATGAATTCACTGATTTGGTTAAGGCTCTCATAACCCAATCATTTTACCTCTAAGCCTTCTTGCATTATCTCACACATAAGCTTTTGGGAAACACCTAATATGTAATTCATAACAGCCCTTTTGAGAAATGTCTGTTCAGGTCATTTGTGGAGACCCCTTTTCTATTACTAGTTTCTAAACAACAATAAAAATCGTATTTTTTTTTTCAAATACTGAGATGTTTATTGCATTTTTAAAGTATCTACCATCTTAAATATCCTGTTTCAAATTCCTTCTAAATTCCTTTACATTATACAACATCAAATATTGAAATAATCTTCTCATACTATTACACTTGAAAATACCATTTAGGAACAATATTTTAGGAAATAGAGGGTTTAAGGCAAGACATTCATTTGGAAAAGTTAACCCCCTCAATCATTCAGTCGGACACGATAAGTTTTCCACCTCTGCAGTGCCTTGGGGTACACAACATACATTCGGCAACAGGGCACACATATGACCTTGTGGACATATGCTGAGGTTGGAATGCCCCATGAAATATGAAAATATTTTTATGTAAGGCGTGGCCCACAGGAACATGGCATGGGAGGGCTGCTTCTTTCCGTTTCCAATCTGGTTTACAGGAAATTCCCTACCTATAGCTGTCCCATTTCCCCCGTTAATCTCTTTTCAAACAAACACAAACCCCTTGCGAAGGTGCTAAGACTGGTTTCTGTCAACACAAGAAAGGCAGTCAGCAGGAAGGCCTCCCCATCACTGCCTTGATGAAGATGGTCTAGAGGCTTTTTCTTGGTTCTGATTGCAAATGCTGTTTCTTGAGGAGAAACTGTCCTCTCCCAAAGAATTTTCTCTTTCGTCAACCTTTCTGGACTGTGAGAGCTGATGGTTTTCATGTATATTCTTTCCTCTTTGAGTCTTTTTCACTGGCAACAACCATAATACTAAGATACTACAGACGTGAAGGCAGTAATACCAGGAGCTGTAAAACGTGAATGATGGTTTTATAGAAAGAAGCACAAATGGCACAACTGTATAACTTATTGCTATTTGAGTTACTGCCCATGTTATGATGTCATAAAATAATTTAAGTTGGGGAGTTTTGAGGAAATAATGTCTAAAGTTGTTTCTCATAGCTCATGCTGCTAATGTCATCAATACCCCTGTTAAAAAGGTCAGATAGTATCCTGGGTATACCCCATGCCAAATGGCAGAGAGAAAGAAAGTCTGGATGGTTGGACTGATGGAGGCCCGTTCATAACACACCCTTTTGAGCCAAAGAGCTGTCTGGATATTCCAATTATCAAGAAACATCTTGAAACTTGTTGACATCTCTATTTGCTGAATTCTCAAATTGGAAATCAAGTCCCAATGAGCTGCTCCATTTCTGTCATATCCTCTGAAACCAAAGCCTGCAGCATTGTTAATAGCATCAGCTAAGGTCCATGCAAAATAGTATTTAGGTCTGGCAGCCAGTAGAGACATGTACAGATAGGTAATCTTGGTTGGCCATGAAGCTGTGGCTTGAAAGCGCTCATCAATGTTGTACTCCACAGGCAACATGTTGGAGATGGTCAAGTGAACGAGCAAGGAGAGCCCACACACCAGGAGTTTCTGAACCACGGATTCATTTGGAGATGGCTCTGTTCTCTCATACTGCACCTCTTCTTTTCCGTTTTCACCTGACTGTGTCATGTGGTACGACCTGCCTTCAATGAAAGTAATGTAGTCTTTGTAAGAGCAGAGTGGGCCCGCCAGGATGCCCATGAAGTTACAGTTGTAACTTACATACTCCAGGAGGCTTGGCATGCGCCTTACAGCCAAGCCCCTCTGTGATGGAGTCAGTTCTTCATCCTTTCGAACCATCCCATCATGAATTTCATAAGCCAAACTGGTGATCTTCTGAGTGATGATCATCATCGGGCCTGAAAAATCAGCAGAATATTGTCCATAATCAAAGATATAGACTCTAGTGATTTGGCACACTGTGAGGTATCCCAAAGCAAACACAAAACAGTATCTGGTCGATGGGCAGCTGCACGGCGTTGCTTAGGGGCTGCAGCAGGGTGGAGCCCGTGGTGCTGGTGGTGGCCATGGCCTGGGCTCGGGGCTGCGCCCGCTCCGGCCTGCTGCCGCTCGCCGGCTCGCGCTGTGCCGGGCGACGAGGATGGGGATGCAGCGGCGCGACCGCCCCTGGGCCGCCCGCCAAAAATCGTATTTTTTATAAACTACTTTTACCAACCAAAATACTCCAAAACAAATATTGTGACATATTAACGCACATACTTCTTTGTCAATCCACTAAATATCTAACTCTGATGGTGGACATAACTAGCATAATTTTAAGTAGTAGTGAGCATTGATGATATTTTGGAATATCTGCAACATTTTCAGATTACATACATCATATGTATTAATAATTTATACTGGTGACCAATTCAGTGTGCTGATAACACTGCTACAGTTTACTGTCCAACAATAACCAATGTTTACAGGGGCTGGGAGTATAGCTCATTGGCAGAGCACTTGTGTAGCATGTGCAAAGCCCTTGTTTTGATCCCCAGCATAGCAGAAACAAATAACATGATAATGCATATGCTAATGTTCAGTGGAATTAAAGATGAGATTTCTGAATTCTCAGTTAAACCTGCCAGCTACACTTCCAAAGGTGTGGCCTTCATGTTCAATCCATTTCCTAGAAAAAGGATAGAAGGAAGGAAGGAAAAGAATTCTCAGGTCTCCAAAAGATAAAAGTTGTGATCTTTAACTCATTTGATCAAAAACGTGCATAATAACTAAAAGCTATAACAAATCTATAGGTACTTTGATTTTTATACATCTCAACACATGTGCATGTATTTGACCTAGAACAATGTCCAAATGCCCACATGTTCAAGACCTTACATTTATTCAGGCCACAGACAACCATCAAGCACATGAGAATTGGGAAATTTATTTTTTTAATACAACTCAGTTGTGTTTAGAAAAGAAATATAAAGTGAAATAAGTGATGGACTAGTTTCTCTAAGCGATCCTGAACAAATGGACTGTTTTTTTCATCTTTAAAAGGAGTATTAAAAGTTATTCTAACTTCATAAGATTACTGTGATAATCAAAATGAACCAGACATATTTTTCTAAACTATAGGTCGTGAACCATTTTGTAGGACATAAAATCAATTAGCATTTCACAACCAGCATTTTTGTAATGAAATAGAAGAAAATGGAAAATACCCAAGTGTCAGACATGGTAAAGGTAAGTATTGTTTTGTGAAACTTTTACTTCAAATATATTTGTGTAGCTTAGTCCTGCTTTACCAAATAAATGACTTTACTATGACTCATAAAAATCTTTTTCTAAGCACTGAAATTAAATATATGAAACATGTAACAGAAGGCATAGCATATAGCAAGCTATTGTTAGGGACAATCTGAACCCTAGAACCCCCAGGTCAGAGTCACTGGTACCCCAAGGTCAGTGGAGACCACTGCTCTTATAAGGATCCTTAGCAATGGGGCTTGCTAGCTGGGAATATGTGGGACTCACCTTTTCTTCTTTCTTCCTTTCTTTTTATTTTTTTCTGTGCTAGGGATTTAACCCTGTATGCTAGGCAAGGGAACCAGCATTTTCAATACACTGTAGCCCTACAGAGGGACAGGAACAAACTTTATCATGGAGAAAGAAGAGAATGAAAACATGACTCGAGAAAAATAGGGTAGTATTTGATTTGGCTTACCTCAAGAGACAGCTTGAATACTATCTGTTAAACACTGGCCGGGTGACCTTGCACAGATTATTTAATTCTCTGGGCTTCACTCCCTAAAAATGAAGACAATAACAACAGCTTCTTCCTAGGGCTGTCATAAAAATTAAATCAGTTAAAGGTTATAAAGTGCTCAGTATGCCTGGCACACAGTAAACACTCCATAAACTTTAGCTTTTGTTGCATTTGCTATTATTATTGTTATTATTACTGTTACAAGAATAGACAAACCTACAAATAAAGACCATTTTTCTGTTTCAAATGATTTTTATCTTTGAATGCTATTCCTGCAGCACAACAAAGAAAGTTGCAAATAAATACAAGCTTTAGGGACTCCTTGATATATTGCCACCTACATTCTTCTTTTCCCTGGGATCTGAGGCATTTTCCCAGGGTAATTTTTTGTTTTCCTCTCTTATGTGGCTGGCAGAGGAGGTGTGTGTGTACCAATGCTCACATTCTTTCCATACATTGAAGTTTATATCAGGAGATCCAAAGATGCTAAGCCCAGCTTTCTGAATGTGTTAATTCTTGCTTCCGTGTGGAAAATACCGTATGGAATCGATGCAACTTGGGCAAAGAATGGTTGGGCTTTTTTCCTATTCAGAGACACACTGGCTCCTGAATTAAATTTAGGATTTGATACACCAGAGCCCAATCCCCTGACATTGCCTGGTAACCGCCTGGCTGAAAATAGACTTTCTGGATGACCGCTGAGTTTCAAAATCACATTACCCTTTTGTCAAGTCACGCAGCAGGTAAACACTGGAATAATTTAGAACCTTAACATCAGGGAAAAGCACGCACTCTGGAGGAGAATTAGCCTCGCCAAGGCTGTGGTTTTTTTCTTTGCCTTCCCCTTGCCCTGGAAGTGTCTTTTAGAATTGTCAAGTATCCACCATCCTTTGACTCACCATCCAGTCCTGTTGTGGCCAGAGGGCCAAAAAGGTTCAGAATGCCACCCACCCTGACACCCCACCCATAACCCTGCATTCAGAATCTCCTCTGGGTCTTCCAAGGCAAGAATTTCTGATCCAGAATAAATCAATGGCCTGGCCAGGGTTGGGCAGCCTCTCACGAGAATAAATAAATAACAGCAACCAAAAGCAAGCCCCAGACAGATTAGAGCATAGATGGATTATTTTTCCAACTTTTTAATATGAAAATATTCCAAAATGAAAGGTGTTAGACTATGGCAACAAACATCTACAAACCCACCACCTAGACTCAACAATTATCCATATTTTGGCAAGTCTGGTTTATCTACATATTCTTTTGATTATGTGTATACGAGATATCATGACATTTCACCCCCAAATATTTGAGCACCTGCCTTCTCAGAATAAGATTTTGCCACTAACACACCTAAGCAAAATTAAGAGCAATTCCATAATAACATCTAATATTAGTGCACATTCCAATCTCTCTCCCTACCGTAAGAATTCTAGCATTATGTCTGATTGCTGTAGCTCCCTAGACCCTTTGAATCAAAGCAGTCCTCCTACCTTTTATTTTAATGACACTGACTTTTTGGTTTTTTGGTGGTGCTAGGGGTCAAATCCAGGGCCTTGCGCATGCTAGGCAAATGCTGCACCCCTGAGCTACATCACAGCCTAGTGACATCGACTTTATATTTATCTGGGCCAGATGTCTTATCGAATGTCCCACAGTGAACACTGGTGAGCTGTGACTGGAAAGAGAGGAGCACAGTGTGGGATACCAGAGAGAATGAACTTGACTTTCTATCTCACTCAGAATGAAGGACCAAGTCCACCCAGCCCTACCCAATATGCCCCACCCAAGTCCTGGGCCCCCAGGTGCTTGCCCACAGTCATGCCAGCCTTCTTGCTTCTCCTCAAATAGTGAGCACATGCCTCACCTGAGGTCTTGGCACTCGCTCTCTCCCTTCTCAAGACGCTTTTCTGCACACATGGACAGGCTGACCCTCTCCTCCAGGAGATCTTTGCTCAGAGGAGCCTTCCTTGACCACTCTATGCCAAATTGCAAACCACCTTCCCCTTCGTATTTTTGTTTCATGGCATATTTCACCCCCAGGCATATACATTGTATTCCGTTTGCTGACTGCTGTCTCATTTGTGCACCCCGGGACAGGGGGTTTTGTGTGATTGGTTCACTGTTGTACCTTCAGTTCCTATCCTTATGCCTGACTCCACTCAATTAACAAATATTGATTAAAACCCACAACTGAGCTCCAGACACTGCAGAGAAGCAGTGTATCAGATGTCCCCCTCAGCTGACATACCCTGGCTATCCATCCAGCCCCTGCTGTCCCAGACTGGTGGCAAAGTGGCTACTCAGCATGGAGAATGACTCTAAGAAGCCAAGGTGAAACCCTGGGGCTCCCCAGTCCTGGGATTTGCTCAGAGTTGGGGCTGATCACCATCTCACTTTTTAAAATACCTTTATTTTATTTATTTATTTTTATGAGGTGCTGAGGCTCACACATATTAGGCAAGTGCTCTACCAGGAAGCCACAACCCCAGCTCCACCATCTCACTTTTGTGTCCTGTGATCCTCCTCTTGATCCCCACAGTTGCCTGTGAGAGTCTCTTGATAATTCACCTGGACTAACAATTCCTCAGTGTCCCCCAGTTAGTGTCAGCTGCAAACTTGCTCTTCCTCTCCCCACAGAACCATGTCACACCATCTGGTCAGCTCCCCTGCCACCTGTCCACCTGGTGCCATTGCCCTGATCCTTTTAAGAGGCAAATGTGACCATGTCATTTCTCTGCTCACAGCATCCCTTTCTCCACAGGGCAAAAAGCAAGTACAGAGCCTGGCACATGCAGCTGACTATGACCTTCCTGATCCCCATCCCTGCCACTCTCCACCTTGAGCTTGACAATGCTAAGTTGTGTTTAGTATTACAAAGTAGTATACTTTAGTTTACTAAGTAGTTTCTGGAATGTCACTGTTCCTCATGCCTTAAACCTATTCCTGTCCAGCATGCACCTCTGCTCCTATCGCATCAGTTAGCAGATCTAGAAAAGTTCTACTCTTCCTTCAAGCTTCCACTCAAAATGCTATCTCCCCTTGGAAAAATGCTCAACTCCACTCTGCTTTAGTTACATTTGATTTGAAAGAAAAATCACAGCCAAGCATGGTGGCACCTGCCTCTAATCCCAGTGGTTCAGGAGGCTGAGGCAGGAGGATCACAGGTTTAAAGCCAGCCTCAGCAACTTAGTGAGACCCTGTCTCAAAAAATAAAAAATAAAAGGGGTTGGGGATGTGGGGATGTCTCTCAGTGGTTAAGTACCC